ATAACTTCCCCCCTTAGAAAAGTGATATTTATTATTTTGCTTTGCTCCTCTGTGAAGTTCAAATCTGTATTAATATATATATATATATATACATATATATATATAATTTTTAAAACTAAAAATACTTTCTTAGAATATAAAACTGTATTTGTAGTTAGGCATGGTGGTACATAATCTCTAATCCCTAGCACTCAGGAGGTAGAAACAGAAGGATCGGGAGGTCAAATCCATCTTTGATTATATAGTGAATTTAAGGACTGCCTGGGCCATATGAGACATCTTAACAAATGTATGTGTTATGTTGTATTTCACCACAAAACTATTTCCTAAAGCGTAGCAGAGCTATAGATGTGACATGATTTTACAAACCTGTATTCAAGTTCCCTTCATATCTGGGCTTACCTCAGCAAAACCACTCTAAACACAGCTGGGGTTATTAACACAGACCTCTTCCCTGAATGTCTGTTGGCTCCTTGCTCACATTTCAATCCCAAGCTAAATTCAGATGAATCATTTATTAGCACAGTGTTGGTGACTGTTAATACAGTTCAGTTATTTTGGACATACTTTTGGGATGTTTTGGAACCAAACTGGTAGCTCAGCAGAGAAGGAACTGAGATAAACTAGGAAAAACCAGGGACTGGGTTTCTGGGTACTTTGGGTCTAAGGACGGAGGAAAGAATAACTATAGTGGTCTGGCAGCAGAAGGCAGAGGCATTGGATCAATAGGGGATGAAAAAGCAGACTTAGGAATCTGCCCTAAGAAGAAAGCTGGCCTTAATCAACTGGCTGCAAATATGGGATGCAATCATCTCTCAGGGTTGGAGGAGATATGAAGAAAAGCAGAGAGCACCTTGGATCCAAATGGTCATAGCAGTTGTGGAAGAAATCAGGCACATTACAAAATATCTAATACATGTTTTACAGAATAACCTGCTAGAATAGGGATGGGCCATTGAAAATCTTTAAAGTTATTAACAATCAAATTTCACCCAAAATGTTTTCTTCTCTGCCACTGGGTAGTTATAACAAAGAAAAGAAAAGAGAGTAAGAAAACATTTAGATAAGATACAAGAGAAAATCGGTGTGAATGTTAAGACTATACAATCATCTGAAAAAAGCCAGAAGGCCCCACAAAGGGGTGTATGTGTGCATGTGTATGCGTGTGTGTGCATGCATGTGATGGGATCTTCCTATGTTGGTAAGACTGGCCTCAATTCCATGATGCAGACAAGGTTGGCTTTGAACTCTGGATCCTCTTTCCTTGGCCTCCCGAGTATTGGAATTGCAGGTGTGTAGCATCATGCCCAGAACTACAAAATATTTTATAAGACAGTTTCATTTGTTTTTTAAGAAAGATTTTTTGTTTGTTTGTTTGTTTGTTTATTTATATGGGTGTGTTGTCTACATGTATGTCTGAAGAAGGCATCAGACTCCACGGGACTACAGTTATAAATGGTTGTAAACTGCCATGTGGGTTCTGGGAATTGAACCTCGGTCCTTTGGAGTGCAGACAGTGCCCTTAACCACTGAGTCATCTCTCCAACCCCAACAGTTTCATTTATTAACATTTAGCCAGATGCAGTGACACATGCCTCTAATTCCAGCAACTTTTGAGGCTAGGGAAGGAGAATCCCTTTGTTTAAGAATTCTGGATAGCTTGAGCAATACAGTGAGATCTTATTTCAAAAACAAAATAAAACAAAACAGAGCAAGCCAAAAATTAATATTTACCAAGAGCCTAATATGTAGTAGAATTAGTGTCAAATACTGAACATTTGGTGACAAACAAAACTGATACAGTCCCTGTCTTCTTTGGACCAGTTTGAGAGAAAGGGGATACACAAATAATCATATGCATATTTTTCCTGTTTCTGAACCCAGAGCCTTGTACATACTAGCAATAACTACTTCCCCCCCCACACACACATACTTTCATGTGGAAAGAGAGGCTGCAATAGGCTTAAAAAAATGACCCTGGAAGAGTGAATGGGAGTCTGCCTGGCACAGAGTGAGGGAAATGCTGAATGTATTTTTTGTTCAAAGACAGCATGAAATCATAAACTACACTGTAATTAAATACAACTATAATAGGAGAAGGGAAGAAGACATTCCCTCAAGGGAATATCATGTAAAAATGTAGGCAATAGCTAGTTGTGCACTGTTTTGTAGACTAAAGAAATGTGGACTTTTTCCTAATAATGATAGGCAATCAATGAAGATTTTTAAAGAAGAAATGGAGCCAGGCTGTAGTGGTGCAGGTCTTTAATTCCAGCACTTGGGAGGCAGAGGCAGGCAGATCTCTGAGTTCGAGGCTGTCCTAGTATAGTGAGATCCTGAATAGCTACTGCTATACAAAGAAACCCTGTCTCAAAAAACCAAAACCCTAAAGTCCACCCTCCAAAAAAGAAAAGAGAAAGAAAGAAGGAAATAGTGTGGGTGGGTGGTAGTGGCGCGCGCCTTTAAACCCAGCATTTGGAAGGCAGAGGCAGGCAGATCTATGAGTTCAAGGTCAGCTAGAGCTACATAGTGAGACCTGTCTCAAAACCAAACAAATGGTGTGACAACATCTGTAGTTATAGAAAAATTAAATTATAGGAACTAAAATAATGAAGTATTTAAGATGAAGAGATTGTGCAATGGAATGGAAGTAGAAAGAAAAGATGTTAGAGATGAATACAGGTTTGGATTGGTGTCTAGTGCATGGTCTAGTGCATGGTGCTAATTGTTGAGATGGTGAAGAAGCAGAATGAGCAAGTCTAAGAAGTTAACTCCAGCAAGTGTGCAGCTCAGTGTAGAACACCTGGATGACACATGAAAGGCCTTCAGTCCAATCCTTGGCACCAATCAAAATTAAAAAGGTAAGAGAATGTAGACTATAAACTCACATTTGGATCTACCGATCTTGGGATGTCTCTGTGATATAAAAGTCTGGAGAATATATAAAACTCAAGTTCTGGACTGGGAAAAGGAATCTGTGACTCATGATAAATAGATTACATTTGAAGTCAAGGGAATCACTGAAATTGTCTATAGATGGGGGAGGGATATTTGTCTAGGCACAAAGGACCTGGGGGCCACTAGGCTCTTGCTGGCCTGAACCAGACTAAACTGGCTATCTGAGCATGCAGTATGTAACTTCTCCAGATTGAGCCAAACTAGGTCTGCCAAGGAGCCCAGCAACTGCTGCCCTGCGGTGAGACAAGATGGCCTAAACCAGTCTCCAGCCACCATGAGAGACCCTGCTTCCCCTCAGCTGGGCGGGATTTCCCCTTCCTAAAATAAACTGAACCTGCTGCACCCAGCCTGTCTCTATCCTGGGGCCTGAGCCTGTGACCCGGTGCCTGCTCGTCCCCACCCTCAAGGGGAAGTTCAGTGGGACAAAGCAGCAGATCAAAGCAACATATAGAGATCCAATGAAACGAGAAAAAAAAGATTAAATAAGAAATGCTCACATTCTCAAGTCCAAATGGATCAAAGACCTCAACATAAAGCCAGCCACACTGAACCTCATTGAAGAGAAAGTGGGAAGTACACTTGAACGCATTGGCACAGGGAACCACTTCCTCAACAGAACCACAGCAGCACAGACACTGAGAGAAACAATTAATAAATGGGACCTCCTGAAACTGAAAAGCTTCTGTAAAGCAAAGGACATGGTCAACAAGACAAAACGACAGCCTACAGGATGGGAAAAGATCTTCACTAACCCCACATCAGACAGAGGTCTGACCTCCAAAATATACAAAGAGCTCAAGGAATTGGACATCAAAAGATCACATAATCCAATAAAAAAAAATGGAGTACAGACCTAAACAGAGAACTCTCAACAGAGAAATCTAAAATGACTGAAAGACACTTATGGAAATGTTCAACATCCTTAGTCATCAGAGAAATGCAAATCAAACAACTCTGAGATTCCATCATACACCTGTAAGAATGGCCAAGCTCAAAAACACTGATGACAACTTATGCTGGAGAGGTTGTGGGGAAAAGGGAACACTTCTGCATTGCTGGTGGGAATGCAAGCTGGTACAACCCCTTTGGATGTCAGTGTGGCCATTTCTCAGAAAATTAGGAAACAACCTTCCTCAAGACCCAGTAATACCACTTTTGGGTATATATCCAAAGATTGTTCAATGATGCCATAAGGACATGTGCTCAACTATGTTCATAGCAGCTTTGTTTGTCATAGCCAGAACCTGGAAACAACCTAAATGCCCCTCGATCAAAGACTGGATAAGGAAAATGTGGTACATTACCACAATGGAGTACTACACAACAGAAAAAAATAATGACAGCTTGAATTTTGCAGGAAAATGGATGGAGCTAGAAAACATTATTTTGGGTGAGGTAACCCAGACACAGAAAGACAATTATCACATGTACTCACTCATAGGTGATTTTTAAACATAAAGCAAAGAAAGCCAGCCTACAAACCACAATCCCAGAGAATTTAGACAACAATGAGGACACTAAGAAAGACTTACATAGATCTAATCTACATGGGAAATAGAAAGTAGAAAAAGACAAGATCTCCTGAGTAAATTGGGAGCATGGGGACCTTGGAGGAGGGTTGAAAGGGGAAAGGGAGAGGCAGGGAGGGGAGTAGAGAAAAATGTAGAGCTCAATAAATATCAATAAAAAATAAGATTTTCAACAAAACAAAACAAAACAAACAAACAAACAAAAAGAAATGCCCACATTCAAAAGTCAGATAGAAGATGGGTAAGGGTTAAAGTAAGTATGCAGACCCATTTTAGCTAGGTTCCTCTAACTCCCAGTCCAAATCTATTGATTTAAATTTAAATTACATTAAATTAAAATGTTCTTATATAAGTTTATTGGTTTGGATATTTGAGCTTTCTCCTGAAGAGAGTGAGAATGAGGTGACTTACCTTCTAGTACTGATAACATGTCAAGGTAAATGACACTTTAGTGTGATAGTCTGGGTTCCTCCTTGGGGTGACAGGAGAAGATAAAATGGAAGTGGTATCTTTTATAAATAACTATTAATCAAGCCACAGTTGAAGTGCAAAATTAGTTAAATAAGAAACATCACACCATCTCTAAACTCTGAGGGTCTACTATTACTATAAGGTAAGTCCACTCTCTGAAGCATTTTGGGAACTGGCTTTTTCTCATGAAGCTTTATGACACATGTCCTGAGGAAGCTTTTAGGTCTGAGGAACAACTTTCTTCCTTCCCTTCTTTCTCTGTCTGTCTCGAGTCAGGACTCATGTAACTGAAGTTGGCTTTGAATTTAATGTTAAGTGAGGATGACCGAATTCTTGATTCTTTTGGCTTCTACTTCCAAAGCAGTGGGACTGCAGGTGTGGCCTCTGTACCCAGCTCTTTTCTTTTTAAATATCTTTTGAATTATTAAAGTAGTATATACTTATATAGGGACTATACCAAAGCATAAAACACCTGTCATTCGATCAGTCATAGATTACAACTCTTTTAGTCTTTTGCTCTGTATACACAGGCACATATTTAAGTGTGTGTACACACAGTAGTTTTTGTTTGTTTTTTGATGTATATGAGTTCTCTATTTATAAGTTATGTCTGTACACCAGAAGAGGGCATCAGATCTCACTGTAGATGGCTGGGAGCCACCATGTGACTGCAGGGAATTGTGCTCTTAACTGCTGAACCATCTCTCCAGCCTGAGTATTTTTTTTAATTAATAAAATTCTATTTTTAAAATTAACTAAATTCTATTTTTATTTCAGCTCTAGGTACTGGATCAGGTCCTTGCACATGCCAGGCCAGTGCTCTATCACTGACCTACATCCCCAGATCTTAAATATTTATTACAATATAAACTATGAAAACTGTACAATCTATAGTAAAGATCCATGAATTATTACATAGTGATTAGCACTGTGTAACTACCAACCAAGTCAAGAAGTAGAATGCTACCAATGCCTCAAGCCAAATATCTCTAGAGAGGAAATGAATTGCTTTAAGAAACTAAGAGTTAATCACAGTTGTTTGGACAGAATGAATTGATTAAAGTTAAATTATTACAACAGTAGAAAAATTCCAACCTCTTAAAATACAATAAAGCAACAAAGTAGAGAGTTGCTTTATTTGTTTTTTTTTTTTCCCAGACAGGGTTTCTCTGGGTACCCCTGGCTATTCTGGAAATTACTTTGTAGACCAGGCTGGCCTCGAACTCATAGAGATCTGCTTACCTCTGTCTCCCAAATGCTGGGATTAAAGGCATGTGCCACCATGTCCAGAGAAAAGTGTTTCTTTCAATGGTTGTGAAAAAGGTAATTTTTTTTTTAAATCAAGAAATGTTATATAATTACCATTCACTTGGTTGATTTCTGAGTTGGAGGACAGAATTTCATCTGCCAGCTTTTGTGCAGTAGGAAGAACTTCGGTGTGGTGTGCTGTGATTAAATATTGAATAAACTTCTGTAGCTGGTCCCTATTCATCTGGAAAAGGGTTTCTGAGATAGGAAGACGCAATTTGACTTGGTCTGGTTTACGGATTCTGTAGAGCGAAAGAGCTACCACATGAGCACAGTAGAATATGTCCTTATTCCCACAGCCACAGGTCACGGAAGTGATTTTGCATCGATCGAAACTGATTGCAACTTTGTAAGTCACTGCGGGTTCAGAAGCAGTGGCTGGTTCAGTTACTGTGCCGCTGAGATGGAAGCCTAAAGAAACAAAGGAAAACATCCAGTTTAGAGAGTAGCAGGAAGCTTAAGGAACTAACCAGTCAGTTCACACAGTTCAGTGAGAATCTCCTCTACAGGTAGTGAGATGTGTCTGGACAACACCAAGCTCAGTGAGCAAAAGTTATATACTGTCTTGAAGGAATACACAACCCAGAGATACAAGACTCTTGGACAAATGTAAAAACTTTAAAAAATACTTTTGTGCATATTTTTGTGGAAGGATAGTTTATAGTTTTCATTACAGTCTCAAATGGTTAATAAAGAAACCCTTAAAAGTTAAGAACTCTTGTAGTAGATTTTGACTCAAAGTGGTGCTAAAGACAAGTCCACAAACACTAGTACAATGTAGAGTAAAGTGAGTGCTATAGATGAGATAGAAAAAAGAGTCCATAAGGAAGAATAACTATGATTAAGGACATTTCATCTTTGAAAACATACAATTCCAAAATGATGACCATATGGAACATCCAAAAAGCAAGAACCTAAGATACAGAACTTGGTGCAAGTGTACCATATGGTACATCTCTATTCACAAAGCACACAACACCAGTAACTGTCAAATGCAGAAAGAACATCTTATTCTTTTTTCAAACAAGGTGTTGGGTAGCTTAGGATGTCTCCAACTTGATATGTAGTCAAGCTGACCTTGGAATCCTGATCCTCCTGCCTCCACCTCTATTCAGCTGTAATATAGTGTTCTCTTAACAAAAGAAGTAACAGAAACATCAAACATTGCCCAAAACTACTTCACAAAGCTTCCCAGGTATCTCTGTGGTGATTCTTCACTCACATTTTCCTTCATGGCACATGTCGGCAACACCAAACCAAAACAACCTTATGTATATCATAAGACCTTGCTACTTACCAGGTAGCCCAATTCCCAAGAACCATAAGCTTTTAAAAGAGCCTCTTTCATCAGTTGTAGAGCTTGAAGAATGTGGGGTAGACCATTTACTCCACTAGTGGTTCCAGCAGGCCACAAAGGCCAGCATCCCAACTTCTTTCCTGTAACAGGTCTGTGTTTTATGCAAAGTAATCAGGAATGGTGGATATGTACAGACTTGTTTTTAAGAGGATACATAAACAGACTTTAGCTTCTCTTGTATCTCTATCACATCATATACAAGTTTAAAGCAATGTTTTTGGGGGAGAAGCAGAGGCAGGTGGATCTCTGTGAGTTCAAGGTCAGTGTGGTTTATATAAAGAGTTCCAGGGAGTCAGGTTACATGGAGAGACCCTGTCTCAAACAAAATAAAATAAAACAAACCCTACAATCAATTGAAAAAAAAAACCAAACAAACAAAAACCCAGAACTCTCAAATACTTTAGTACTGAGTGGACCCTGAATAAAGCATCAAAAACTTTCAAGGAGTTCCTGTTTAGTTTTATAAATAGTATATTTTCCCCCAAACCACAAAGCAAGCTCTGACATTAAAAGAAATGTTTTACTTTAAATTTCTATTCCAATCTGTGATTTTAGACTCCTTCTCTACCCAGCTCTATCTTGTTTAAAAATATAAGAATAAAGCCATACCACAGCCCATCTCCATTACACACATGATGGCTCTGATGTTTCAATTTCTAGGAAAATCACTGGCCTTTAAAGATTCCTTTATGCTATGGCCTCCTACAAGGATACCTTTTTGTGAGCATGTTACACTTTCTTTACCTTCAACATGCACCAAGAATCACTTAGACAAGAACCAGCAGCCCCACAGTGGCAGCACACTCCTGCGGCAGCACTCCAGTCACAGGGGGGTCTGGGGCTAACTGGGCTGTACAGACACAGCAAGATTCTGTCTCTAAAGCAAAAATGAAAAACCATCAAAATGTCCTCACAAGGAATGAACAACCAAGTGTTTGGAAGAAGTCCTTGGTAGAATTTGCTGTGCTCAAATATGTACCAAACACTGTTTATTAAAAACCCACGCATGGCTTGTGGCTTGTTCTCATCATTAAAAAGCTGCAGTGGCACACACTTTTAATCCTAGCACTTTAGTGGCAGAGGCAGGCAGATCATTGTGATTTCGAGGCCAGTCTGTTTACAGAGCTAGTTCCAAGAGAGTCAAGGCTACACAAAGAAACCCTGCCTCAAAAAATTAAAAAAAAAATTTGGAGAGTCCAAGAAGCAGATTTAAGTCAACCTTGAATTAAATAGGAAATATTAAAGACAATTTTTCCATTTATAAATATACTATAATATAATAATAGATAATATTGCATATATGTGGTGAGATTTCTTTTTTCCAAATAAGGAAAATCTTATATTCTACACTGCTTAGCTCAAATATCACTTTGCATTAAACCACCTGGTACCTCAAACTGTTGAATGATTAAATGAAAAACGTTAGCATTTATGCCTGTGGAGCTTGCATTCTAGTTTACAAGAAAGATTTTGTCCGGAATCAGATAATAAAGACCTAAGAAATAATCATTTCATTGATTGCCCAGAACAGTTATGTAATTTGCATGATTATAGTAATGAGAACAAAAAGTTAAATGACCATAATTTCTGAAATATCTTGGGCTTTAAAAATCAGGAATAACAGATTTATAGTGATTCTTTCAAATCAGTGTACTTTCCAAATACAGCCAATTACTTAGTAACCCCCTCTTTCCTGCCAGTGCTAGGGATCGAACCCAGCGCTTTAATGCACTCTACAACTGAGCTGCAGGCCCCAATTCGTTTTTTTTATTGATCAAAATAATTTTTAAACGGTAACACTTTTTGAACATGAACACATGCTGGACATTTTATGTTGTTTTTAATTTACTTATTCTGTGTGTGTATGATGGGGCGATGTCATAGTCGTGTGTGATCAGAGGATAACTCTTTGGGGTCAGTTCTCTCATTCCACCTTTATATGGGCTTTGGTCATTGAGCTCAGGTCCTCAGCTTTCGTGACATGTGCTACACCTGCTGAGCCACCTTTCCAGCCTACTTCCCCTTTTATTGAAAAATCATGTAATTTCCACATTATTTGGTATTTCTGGTACCTATATAGAGACTAGCACATCATAAACATTTATACACATGTTTACTGAATACAACGGTTTTGAACCCTTTAATGTCTCTCACTGGTCACAGGACAGTGGAGCATCTGTTGGGACCTTCAGTCTCCGCAGACATGCTCCCACTACTCAACACACTACCATACCAAACTCACTGAGTGGCTCTTTACCGTGGGAGGGTTTCTCCATTTTCTTTGCCTTTATGCCTTTATATGTGAGATTCCCTACACCAGCATGACCTCACTCCCTCCCCATTTTCTCCGTTCACAAGATGTTTACTATAAGAGCCTTACCTATGTCTTCGGACACCTAGCTAAGTGATTTTTCAGGGTGCTCATTTGCATTAGTTTTATCTTTATTTAAGCAAATGACTATCAGTATAATTAATAGCTTCATGTTTGTCTTTACCCTCTAGATTGTGAACTTGTAAACAAGGGTTTGTTTTCATCTTTATATTTTCAGCTGGCATATTGTAAGGGCTTAATAAGTATCTTTTATAGATAAATGAATAAGTGAACACTAAATTGAATCTCTACATATTCATATCTACAATTCACAGAGGGTTAAGTATATTTATAAAGTTTCCAATTTTGTGATTAAAACATACCAGCAAATTAAACAGTTTTATTGGGCTGGTGAACAAAGTAACAAGAATTTATATACAAAGTTAACTGACAGTCTTCCTGTCCCAACACAGCTGCTGTTGGAGTTGCAGTGGCTGCGGAGATGACATCTACCAGCCTCTGGAATGCTCTCCCAAGAGTCCCGCGCCCTCAGTGTGGCTTGGCTGTAGGTGCCTAGGTTATCAACGCAGGATGTGAGTGGAGAGTTTTCAGCAATGACAGCCAAAGCAAAACAAAGGTTCTGCTCCAGCTAGAGGTTCAATCCTCAGATCCCACACTGGACAGAGAGAACCAACTAACTCCTGAGGGCTATATTCTGACCCCCACATGGTGCTGCCACACGTGCATGTCCACATTCTCTCTCTCCATCTCTCCCACCCCACAATTATTTATTTATCCACTTGTTTATTTATTTTTTGAGACAGGGTCTCACTATATAGCTTTGGCTATCCTGGAACTCACTATGTAGACTGGACTGGCCTCAAAATCAAAGAGATCTGCCAGTCTCTGCTTCATTTTATTTATTTATATATTTTTTGGTTATTTTTGAGACAGGGTTTCTCTGTAGCTTTGGGGCCTGTCCTGGTACTAGCTCTTGTAGATCAAGCTGACCTCAAACTCACAGAGATCCACCTGCCTCTGCTTCTTAAGTGCTGGGATTAAAGGTGTGCAACACTCTGCCTGGCTCAATAATTTTTTTTTAGTTAAAAAAAACAAGTTATTTTATTAGCTGACACTTAGCACTTACATGCTAGAGTATATTGTAAGTGTTTTCCACATGTTAACTAGTTAAGCCCTCAGAACAGTGTAATGTCTGCTCTTTTTCCTCTCAGCTCAGAGACATAGAGGGTGCTATTCACATCATCCAGCCTTCTTGAGTACTGGCGGTCTAGTTCCAATCTGTACTGTTAGCCCTGATAGTGAATATGATACTACTGGATCTGACGGATGCATCCAAACTTTATAAAAGTAATTAGCAAGCATTATTCTACAAAGACAAGACTCCTGCGTCAATGACAAGTCAGTAAACTCTGACATCTGTCTGGTTTCCTGGGCAACCACTCTATGCAACTGTAACTATCAAGGGCTTTGCAACACTCACAGAAGGAATGAGATAGGCTCATGACCTACAAGACAGAGTCTTAGCACAGCACATGAATCATCTGCGTGGAGTTCTAAAGGAACACTTCTCTGCACCGCCCTCTGACACCATTCAAAGGCCTTTGTGTTTCTGAGTGGAAGAAAAGCTCGGGCAAAGCCTGGGCAATTAAAACCACTTTGCTCACTGCTCTTTTGATTCCCCAAGGCCTCTAGGCAGGTGCTAACACATGAAAACCAATGCCA